TCAAAAACATAAAGTGTGGCCCGGCACAGCATGGCTCTGCGGTTGAGTGTCGACCTAGGATCCAGGCGATCTGGGTTCAATTCCCTGTCAGGGCACATGCCCAGGTTGTAGGCTCGGTGAATGACTCTCTCATCATTGATGTTTCTATCTCTCTCTCTCCTCTTCCTTTCCTCTCTCTGAAATCAATAAAGATATATTTAAAAAAACAAAACAAAAAACATGACCCATCTCTATGCTGCTTACAAGAGACACTTCGAATTGAAAGACACTGTGCAAAGGGATAAAGGAAGCTGGGTAGCAAAACTCAGACAAAATAGACTTTAAAACAAAACATGTAAAAAAAGGCAAAGAAAAACATTGCATAATTATAAGGGGGTCAATCCAAGAGGAGGATATAACAAATGTAAATATCTACACACCCAAACAGAGTAGCACCTAAATAAGGGGGGTAGGGGGGCAAAAGGAGGTTTACAGTGGTTCGTATGGAAAATAACACAACAACTAACAAATAATAAAACAAGAATAAACTGTGTTTTATGTACTCACAACCAGCTAACTATCCCACCAGGGCTCTAAGTCCCCTACTGAAAACGGCAATCCCATTCCCTTCCCCTTTCTCCTCCCCCACAGGCACATAATCTCCTCAACTCCAAGGGACCCCATGAGACTGGCAACCAGGGGAGTAAGGGGCAGTAGCAGCTCTTCCCGGGCTTACCCCCTGACTGCCTCCAAGGCCCCTTCTCTCTGACTCCCCAGTGAGACAAAGCAGCCCCGCCTAGGCTCTCCTGTTGCTTCTTCTAGGCCCTTCCTTGTTTCACTGTCCTAAGTGTGTTTTTGTTGCAGTCAAATAAATTCTTGCTTTACTAACAAATAAGTAAAACGGCAATTCCTCCCCAAACCACACTCCCCCCCCACACACACTGCTTTTCATACCTACAGAGCATTTTTCATCAAACATTCCACACTTTACCTACTTCTTTGTTTATTGTCTACCCCCCATTAAACTCTCAAGTCCATGAGGACAAGTATTGTATGTTTTGTTCTTTCTGCATCCCCAGCACAGACCCAAACACATATAGTATTCAATTAAAAAACTGGATTTTGTTTCTTATAGTTAATACTCATTCACTGACCTCACCACTTCTGGGAGGAAACCACTCACACAACCTATAAAGAGGCAGTCCCTACACCACGCATGCTCTTCACAGAACTGTTTCTAATGGCCAAAAAATGTAAACAACACACTGCTTAATAATAACAGGACGCAGAGCCATCCTATGAAATACCAAGCAACAAGTGAAAAGAATGAAGACCTACATGGACACCATGAAGAGTTCCGAGACACACAGTGAATGACAGCAGCGGACGAACAAACCGGTATACTGGCACTGTTTTAAAAAAAAAACGCAGAGAGAAACAGATGGCGGCATAGGTCACAGCTGCACCCGCCGCCTCCCGCAACCACATCAAGATTACAACTAAAACACAGAACCACCAGCACTCAGAGCCTCCTGAGATCTGACTGAACAGAAGCCCCACAACCAGGGACCTGAAGAAGCATCGAGAGCGGGAGGACGGGCGGAGACGGGCGGACAGGGCTGAATTCCAGAGAGGAGTCCGCAGGCCCACACCCCGGTGCCGCGGTTTAAACCCAGGAGGGACATCTTGGTGGTGGGGGTTTCCCGGAGGAGTGAGGGGTCCCAGCCCCACAGCAGTTCCCCAGTCCAGGGCTCCAGGCCAGGAAGAGACGCCCCCACAACTCCGGGCTGTGAAACCAGCGGGGACTGTGGCTGAGGGTCACGGAGGCTACGGGAGCCCCAGGCAGCTCCTCTTAAAGGGCCCGCGCACAGACTCAGACGCGCTCCCTCTGAGCCCAGCGCCGGGCAGCAGCCTGAAAGGACCCGGGACACTTGGGGAGGGCCTAACCTGCCTGAAATTGGGGTGAGAGGTGGAGGAGCGGCTTCCTCCCAGGCAGAAGAGTTGGCAGAAGCTATTGCTCCTTTGGCGAGCCGTCCCCGCACACACCCGGCAGGCAGGTGCCGTATTTGAATCGCCAGCACCTGACTCACACCTTTGGCCCCGCCCCCTGATTCCCGGAGGCCCCGCCCCTCCCCACCTGCAGCTCATCCAGGCCATTTCCAGGGCCTTTTCTGTGCAAGTAGCCTCTCGAGCTTCATGCTTAGGACTTCCCTAAAAATCTCTCAAACAAGCAGCAGCAGGCCCCATACGGCTTGATAAGCGGCCCCAAGCCTGGCACTAGCTGCAGCCTGCATTGGCTCATAGCTTGGCCTCTCCTGGACACCTCCAAGCCCAGCACAAGCAGCAGCCAACTACGGTTTGCTGTGTAGCTCAGGCTAGGTGGCCCTGGGCAAGGCACTGGCTGACTTTGCACCTCCCGGAGGCCCCAGAGACAGTGTACCTGGTGGTCAGACTGGACCACGCTGGATTACAACCCTACCACATCCA